CATGTTGATGTAGAAGAGACATGAAGAAGAGGGGACACATGTTGATGTAGAAGAGACATGAAGAAGAGGGGACACATGTTGATGTAGAAGAGACATGAAGAAGAGGGGACACATGTTGATGTAGACGAAGTGGATTTTGCTTAATAGATGAATTTGAATGTTGTTTTTTGTTCCAGGTTTCGAGAGAGGGAAGGAAGACCTCCTGGCTCTGCCTTTGAAGGAGGATTCTCACTCCATATCTAAGAGCAAGGTGAGGAGACCCCTCCATGACGAGTGGGCAGGAAGCAGTTGGTGCTTTCGTGTGGATGTGTTGTAGACTGGAAAGAAAATAATAATTACTGCGCTACTTCTTCCCTTTCTGAGACTTGCCTCAGACAGGAGAAAGCCCACGTTCAGACGACTCACGAACACATCAAACATTTATCGACTCAGCACTTGATTAAAGTGAGGAGGAGGCGGAGAGGAGTGGAGAGTCTCCCCGAGGCTCAGCAGAGATGGAAATAAAACTATGTTTTGTTTTTCTGAAGCGTGACAGGATAACCAAGCCAGAGATTCAAAAGCTCTTTATCAGTCAATCGATCAAATCAAATGTTATTTATATTGCATTATATCACAAATAACACATTTGACGGGGGGCTTTACAGTTTGTACAACCGGGGGCTCTTATAGTGTTTGCAGCATACACCCTTTGTCAGGGGCGGACTGGGACTACAAATCAGCCCGGGACTCTCGACCGGCCCACCGCAAGTAAATAAGTAAATACCGCTAGTAAATTGTCGAGGGGTGAGGGGGGGGATGCTAGTGACTTATCCGAGCGGCCCACATCGTCCGACCGGCCCACTTCAGTACCGGCCCATCGGGATTCGTCCCGAACGTCCCGATGCCCTTTGTCCTGAGACCCTAACGGCCCGTCCACACAGCGGCGTGCGTTGACGCTTCACCATTCACATAGAATGGGGTGACAGCTCCGCGTTGCTGGCGTGGCTCGCTGCAAAAGTTGAGCAATGTTCAACTTTTGACGCCTCGGCAGAAGCGTCAGCCAATCGAATCATATGCCAGTACAAGCTGTAGCCAATCAAACCGCTGCTTGTGTGTCCGGGGCGGGAGATTCATGTGATTGGTTGTTGGTCGAGTTCCAGACACGCCCAACGGCAAGCTTCAACGCACGCCTCTGTGTGGACGGGCCGTAAGACCATAGGGGAGAAACTCAAAACTGAACCCCAGAATAAATGGGGGAAATATCAATTACAGCATTAATGAAAACAGTCATAAAATAAGTCAAAGATGAGAAAACAAAAGCAGAAGGCACTAGCTAAATACAAATGGACAAAGTTACACCATTTACCCATTTTGTTTGGTCATCAATAATTACATGTAAACTAAAAAGCAAAGATCAATGAATCTGTGATGAATGCGTGTGTTTGTGTGTGTCACAGTTGAACAATAATCTGATATAATGTTAATCATAGTTCTTGCCCTCTGTGTGTATTCAGTCTGAAACAAAGCTGTACAATGGCTCCGACAAAGACGTGTCTGCATCCGGAGGAAAGCTCACCAAGAAGGAGTCCCTCAAGGTAAGTGAGCTGATGATGATGATGATGATGATAGTCGCTCTTCTTTAAAGGGGACCTATCATGCAAAATGCACTTTATGATGTCTCTTATACATAAACATGTGTCCCCGGTGTGTCGGGGAACTCACGCAGCGTTAGAAAATAAAACCCTCTCTCTTTTCCTCCGTACCCAAATCTCTAAAAACGGGGGAACAACGGAGCTGATCCAGATTTGCGTCCGATATGACGTAATATCTGAAATGGTGACCCACGGCACTATCAGAAACGCTGCTATAGAATATAATCGTTTAATGCAGTGGTTTTCAAAGAGACCCCTGGTGGGGCGCGGGAGGTACTGCGAGGGGGGGGCGCGGGAAGAAATTGTAAAACAAACACTGCTCGAAAAATAAATCTAACAAAATGGAGTAAGTTTTTAACACGGCCGTCAGTTAAAAGAAAAGTGGATGAGCCTACGACAAGCCTTGCAGCAACTAAGCCCAAATCAAGAAAGTATGATGAGTCATACATCCCCCTTGTGGTAGGTGGGGAGGAACGACCAGTGTGCCCTCTGTCTCAAAACCTTAGCAGTAGCGNTAAAAAGGAACTCACCTTGTGGTATAACCGGCAAGAGAGAAAGCCTTTGAGCTCCATACTGTTTCAGAGATAATCCTTGATAATCCATGATATGGCGTTTCATCACGGCAGTATTTAGTTTAGACAGTAGCTGCCGAATAGAAGACTAAGGTGCTAAATATATTCGTGTGTGTGTGCTTTGTGTAGGTGCAGAAGAAAAACTACAGGGAGGAAAAGAAGAGGGCGACCAAGGAGCTGCTCAGCACCATCACTGACCCCTCCGTCATAGTGATGGCCGACTGGCTAAAGGTGGGAACATCTCACACTCTAGTCTAGAACTTAAAAAGAGTGCATGGAGCACATTTTCATAGTGGCCAGACGATGGTACTACACTTCAGTTCTAGTTTCTGACGTCATTCGGGCCCAAAATGACTTTTTCCTATTTCCTATTTCCTAAGAGACGTCTGCATTAGGCTGGAGGGGGTCACTTTAAATTGTATTCTGTTTGTAGCTACATGTTTAAAATCTATGTATCACAATGTATATATTTGTAACTTCTGGATAACCTCCCTATCAAATGCAATGACATGTAATTGTAGTGTATTATGTAAGACAACAAAACAATGTCACCTTATCAAAGAGAAAAAACATTATAAAGATATTTAGAATCAAAAATGTGTCATTTTGTATAATTATAGGATAGGTCACAAAATAGGATAGTTTACAAATGCTGACACATTAATAACAAGCAAACACTGTATTTTCGTCCACCTACTGTACTGTATTAAAATAAAGAAGAATAAAAGTAGCTTAAATGAAAACCAGAAAGAAAATTCCGGCAGTACGTCTCCCTATAATATATTCATCTTTATTTTTAAATGTATTGTGACATTGTAATCCTGTTATTACTCACATTTCTTACCTCCAAAGCAACGTGTATAGGAGTAACCTGCCTCTTAAACTGTATCCTGTTCTCTTTATACATCCATGTTTCCACCCCTCAGTTAATATTTCCTAGTTTATTTGTTGGCTGTACAATATAAAAGCTTTTCCAGTTTGCCTAATGTGAGTCCTCTCCATGTAGCCTATCACAGAAGGCAAGGTTTCTCACACTTTCTCTGTTTCTGTTGCAGATCCGCGGCACTCTGAAGAGCTGGACCAAGCTGTGGTGCGTTCTGAAACCAGGCGTCCTGCTCATCTACAAAACCCACAAGAACGGGCAGTGGGTCGGCACGGTGCTGCTGAACGCCTGCGAGCTCATCGAGAGGCCGTCCAAGAAAGATGGATTCTGCTTCAAACTCTTCCACCCGCTGGAGCAGTCCATCTGGGCCGTCAAGGTGAGAGGCAGAGAGGGTACACACATCCTTTCCTCAAGTAGAAGTACAGATACTCGTGGTTAAAAATACTCTGGTGAAAGTAGAAGCACTGACTAAACTTCTTTACTCAAGTCAAAGAAAGAAGTAAGAGGCTTTGAAATGTACTTCAGTAAAAAGTACCCATAACTAGCAGCTGCTTTAAAGAGTACCTGACCTCCCTTTATATTAATAGAACAATAATGTCATTGTTAGCTAATGAATGTTTCCATGGTGAACAACGGCAACATGACAACGTTTTCATTGGTCCCTCTTCTTTAGAGAAGACCAGGAAATGATGGATACACGGATCGTGTTCAAATCAATAGGCACGCAATGACTCTAAATAATAATGATCACGCCACCAAACACACATTCAGACTAAAGGAACCAGCCTGTTTGGAAAATGAGAGAAGTAGAAAGTACAGGTATTTGGATTCAACATGTAAGAAGTAGAAAGTACAGGTATTTGGGTTCAACATGTAAGAAGTAGAAAGTACAGGTATTTGAGTTCAACATGTAAGAAGTAGAAAGTACAGGTATTTGAGTTCAACATGTAAGAAGTAGAAAGTACAGGTATTTGGGTTCAAAATGTAAGAAGTAGAGGAGTAAAAGTCACTGATACCAGAAACATGTACTTGAGTACAGTTAACAAGTATTTGTACTCCACTACTTCCCACGGCTCTCGATATAAACATACCTTAAGATTCAGAATAAGGAGTTTAATAATTTTAACTAAAATAATCAATAATATTAATAATAGTAATAATACATTAGATTTTTATAGCGCTTTTTCGAGTGCTCAAAGACGCTTTACAATATAAAAACTCATGAACAGTAATCCTAATTCTTAAAAGTGCGTGATTTGTATTATAAGTGTTGTGTTTGTATCAGATGTTTGAAAGCTGATTATTTGGTGAGCGATTATAACGCGTGAGTTTTGAGAAGATTTTTTGAAGGATTGTAAGGAGATAGATTAAATAGATTGAAAAAAGTACGACGTATGCTAAAGGGGGATTTGAATGCAGTCTGGGCGTCTAGAGACTGGACACAGCAACAAAATGAACAGACAATAGTGCTGTGTAATCTGTGAGAGCTCTTGTTCTCTGTCGGGCTTTGCTTTAATGTTACTAGTAGCATCGCATCCACCAATTTTCAGGTATTCAGCCGCACACATTTTCCATTTTTCCTGGTCGTGGTTTTAAGCTTCCTTTCAGTCCCTCCATCTGCACATTTGGTTTATTCATAACTGACCTTTCCGGACCACCTGTCCCCTCTGCTATTAGATATGTTGCATACTGACTCTCTGGGGAGTCTAGGTTCTCTCTGTTTGCACACGTTACACAAGAAACACACAACACACACACACACACCACAAACACACACGCACACACACAGCACACACACACACACACACACAACACACACCACACACACACGACACACACCAGGGTTGTCGTTAGCGCGGTAATTACCGTTTTTTTAGCTGCTAAAAATTATTTAAAAACCGGTAAATTCAAAACCTTGACGGAACACGAGCTCTGCATTGATCACCTGAAGCCCCGCCACTGTGAGAGAGAGAGAGATGAGAAGAAAGAAAGAAGGAGAGAGGAAGAGAGAAAGAAGGAAATGAGATGA